CTTCTCTCTCTTCTCCTTTCCCCCCTCCACAGTAATCATAATAGTCTCCTACATCTGTAGTTCTGTACACCAGCATAGTAGACAATTAGGATTTCCTAATTTACTCAGTGTTTCCAATGAAGCTCTCTCATTTGGCATATATTAATTTTAATTAAGAAAGGAGTATATATTCTTTAAGTATTTTGAAAAAGAAATTTAAAAATTTATGTTAATCTCAGCTACACAAAGTTGCTTTGATGAGCAGCAAGTTATCACTATGTTTGAGAATTATAATACATTTTTAGTCTGTGCAGTGTTGAAGATAGTGCTATGCTGATGCATCCACTCGGTCACTCATTCGGTCATGGCATTAATATCGAGTCCCTCTGAGTGACATTATCCAAACTCACAAAGCAGACATGTGGCCAGAACCTGCATTCCATCATTTGTTCCACCGCTCACTTCATATTTGTTTGTTGTAGATCAGATCCCTATAGTTTGTAAGGCAAATCTACCATCCTCTGGGTGAGAGAAAGCCTGTATGCATAGCGTTTGATGACTCCTGCGATAGAAATGTCACGGACATGGCTGATATCAAGACATCATCAAGCCTGAGATCACACATTTTAGACTTGGGAAGGGAGTTATGTCAGGAGCTCTCAAAAACACAGCTAAAGTTGTTATTAAAGTCTACTCAGTGGGGGACAGCATTGCCTGGGAGTTCATAAGACATAAAATACTTCACACTCTGGAGACTCCAGAATCAGAAAGGCATGAGGGGGCCCCCAGCATTTTCCCCTTTCCCCTTACTGCCTGTATTTCTGGTGCTGGAAATCTATACATTTCTTAAAAAGGCCACAGTCTTCTGTGATGATATAAGAAGTAAGTTGATAAGACAAGCTACTTTATTAGTACCGAAAAAGCAAAAAGAAAAAAAAATTACATCTTCTGTTTCATCAACATCCATAGGTATGTTAGCTACTCTCTCTATTTTCTAAAACTTTATTTTTTTATTTTTTACAAATTATGTGTATATATCTGCGTGTGGGTGTATTCTAGTGAGAGTAGGTATCTGCAGAGATCAGAGGCACTAAAGGCCTGGAGCTGGAGGCTCGGTGACTCTGTTTCCCTACTGTGGATGCTGGCAATCCTCTGGAGAGGCAGCCAGTGCGCCTATTTGAAGCCCTTCTAATTTATAAATAGCAGCTGATGGCATTTACAATGCTCTTATTTTCTTAGAAAAAAATGACCTTTGTTTAATCAAAGAAAAATCATGTTTTATTAAAAACAATGTTCTTTCTATCTAGATGAGAAAAAATTCCTTCGAAGTAAAATATATCAATGTAAATCTGACCCTACGAAACCATTATTGTTCTGCTAATTTATTTGAAACAATAACTGACATCTCTAAGAATAATCCTATAGGAAAAAAAAACCAGATATGTGATTTTCTCTAATATCCCAAAATAAACTTCACTTTAATCAAAGTTGAGAAGGGATCAATCAAATGATAAAGTGTACTTAATGTAAAAAAGTTAATTTCCATATGCAATTTCCTCAAGAGCAATGCATAATGTAGAAAAAAAATGTTGCTCAGCGAAGGGAAATTTACATAACATAAATCACAAGCAAGGAAACCAAACACAAACAAGAACAGTTATTCAAAATAAGAACACTTAATTATGTCCTTTAATGCAACACAAATTTATATACTTTCAATAATGTTCTAGAGAGTTGATAAGGAATATGATTTGAACATTTAATTTAACTGAATATTAAGTAACTCACAAGAGCTGGCTGGCTGCGCTGGCTGCTATTGACGGGTTTTTACTAAAGCAAAGTGGAAGTGGAGCCTTTCTCTCACGACTTCCAGAAAAGGGGGAACAAGCACAAAGGCTGTACCATTTTGTGACTCTTGGAGATAAGCCAGAAAATCAGAGCAGTATTTAACTGCACAGTGTACACAGAATGAAAGAGAGGATTAGACACAAACCAATCCCACCCCAGATGCCACGGAGCCAGCTTGTGAATAAAGAACGTGATGGACACTTGGCTTTGTACTGAAGAAACTTAAAACAAACTTAAAACAAAATGAAATTTTGGGGAATTTTAAATTAGTGATGCCATTATTAGTATTTATTAATTTATATTGTCTAGCTAGTTTGCTTATTTTGCTTTCCCACATAATCTCACAGGAAAGCACTCTTATTTATTATCTGCATCCTTAGGTGAAAACTAGACGGTGATGGTATGTTTAACCCACAGTTCCTGGGCATAGTCCTTTCTCTATTATTCCATGATTTTGTTTGAGTGCTGATGACATTCAGTTGGTCCAAAACTCAAAATAATGTGTGGTGGCATCGATGCAGAAATCATCTTCCACACCCTCCTTTTTTATGTCCATCTTTACTTGATGTAAACACCTGGAATATGAGTGCTTGCATCCCTTTAATCTCCTCTGACACCGTTCGCACTTCTTATTTTACATTTTTTCATACAAGGTGTCTCTATTATTAAACAGTTCTGGCTATTCTGGAACTCCCTAGGTAGACCAGGCTGGCCTTGAACTCACAGGGATTCACCTGTCTCTGCTTCCCAAGTTCTGGGATTAAAGGTGCATGCCACTACAATCTACCTCCAGTTTTTATTTTAAATTGAGTATTATACATTGATAATCTCAATTTCTTGCCACTATTTCCCCATATTTTTCTTTCCTCCCTGACTTTTTACCTTTTCGTCCTTAGAATATTATTAATTTTCTTAACTTTCAAACATTTTAAATTAATATTAACCTGAACTTTAGGCAATTGTTGCTTGCCTTTTTAAACTATAAAATGAAGTAATTGCCTTCTCAAACTGTGTGTTTTAATTTGAGAAACAGAAATTAAATACAACTGGTGTGCCAAATACCTGATAATACATGTTCTTATTATATAATTTTTAAAAAAGAAACATGAGCTTTTAGTTTTAAATGGAGAGTGGAGATCAACACAGTATTCTTTTCATAGCTGTCACAGAACACAAGCTATTTTTAATTGAGGCAAAAAATGGCAATGAGCATAGAATCAAACAAACACAAAATGCCCTTTCCAGGAAATTTTTATCTGGGTAAAATCACTTGGGTTCCTTCAACTTACCTAGAAATATTTTGGTATATTTTATATGAAAACTAGCTTTAGTATGCCAACACAAGAATCTTTACTATGGTTTGGAAGAGCTCTATACTGCTTCATTGTCATGAAAGAGCAAATAAATAAAATAAAACGAACCACATTATGAAATCTTTTTATGGGCTGAAACACTATATAATTTAAAGTTTAAAGATATATAAAATGTTGGCAGTAATTCATCAACATTTGGGGGCAAAATAGCCATTGTATTCCACTTGAAAACCAATAATTATATATCTATTTCCATGCTCTAAATAAAATAGTTCCAAGTGGACTACCTCACCACCAGCAGAGCTGATCAAATTCCACTCATGGCTTCAATTAGTATCTACTCTCCCAGAATCGTCTATAAAGGAGCCAATAAGCTTATGGAGGCTTTTGAAGCACACTTGTATATGCACAGATAACACCAATAAGATTGAAACAACTTACTACATGTTATGTCAGAATAAACACCCAATCACTTGCAGTCAAGTGTTTTTGACCTACAGATGTGTTTGCTAATAAGTATGGTGCTATAAATGTGAATCAATTTAGGTATGGTGACACAGGCTTGTAATCCCAGCACTCAGGGGGTAGAGACAGGTAGATCTCTTAGTTAGAATCCAGTCTGATCCACAGAGAGAACCCAGGACAAACAGGACTAAATAGAGAAATCTTGTCTTGAAACAACAACATAAATCAACATTTAAAGGAAAGAAAAAAAATCATAGTGAGAAAATAAATGATCGACAGACTTGGAACAATATTTTACATAACAGCATCCAAAGAGAACTGAGAGAGATTTGATTTGATGTCCCTATCATCACAATCACTGCCTACCTCAGAGCTCTTTGTCTCATATACTCACAAAGCCAGACTTTGAAAAAATGTAAGCATGAGACCCTAGTCTTTCCCTACAATCGACCTGCTTAATTCATTTAAGTTACCTTCCTGGAAAAACTATGCTTTAGATTATGAAGCCTGATCTAAAGGTGATTTCTACTGTTATTTTTACATGTGAAGTAATGTCTGATGCATGGTCAAGGAACCTTTCCTGAAGATCAGAGCCCAAAGTTAGCCACGCTAGTCAGCCATTTAGGCAAGGCAGTGGTGGCACACACCTTCAATACCAGCAGCCACAGTAGTTAGCCATAGAGTCTGGGCAGCGGCAGTGCACATCTTTATTACCAGCACAAGAGAGGAACATAAGGCCAGATGAGACAGGAATTCACTTCGGACTGGAAGTCTGGAGATTTAGTAGAATTAAGCACTCTCTTGCAGATGTTTGCTTTGCTTCTCTGATCTTTCAGCTTGAACCTCAATATCTGTCTCTGAGTTTTTATATTTATGCTACACAATAGCTTGAATATATCATTACATCCATGCATAATATATATAAACTTCAACGCAACAGTGCTGAAGGGTAAGGAAGCTATGAGGTAACTACTACGAGGTAATTAGGTCATAAGGGCTCTACCCTCCCTTGGGTAAAGCCTGAAGCTTCAGGGAGAGCTTGAGTGGTTCCCAGAGGAAGGCATAGATCAGCCCTCTTCCCTCCCCCATCTTTGGCATATTTTTTTTGTTGCCATTTTATGCATTTTACGAGAAAATGATACCACGCAAAAGCTCTTCATTACAAGATGTGGTTATCCTTATCTTGGATTTTCTAGTTTGTAAATTATAAAAAAAAAAATTCTGATATTTTTTGTTACTCAATCTCCAGTATCCTGCTATAGAAGTTCATAAAGAACTAAGCCACCCGCTATCACCAAAATATTCCCATCCCTTCTCATTATAGGATTGTAGAAGAGAAGCAGTTCTTTATTGAATAAGCTTTTTCACCTTTACCAGTAATTGAGAGATCTTCACCTGTAAATGGCCGAAGCCGGGTGAGAGCCGGTGTCATAGCTGGCTCGAACTCGCCCTCGATAGAGTTCCACAGCAATGTGGTCTTTGTCACCTTTATACAGGAGGATGCCGCTGTCTTCATCTGTGGCAATCTAGTAGGAGGTAGCCCTGATGTTAGGATGCACAGTCAACCAAATGCACTCATCCAAAGAAATAGGCAAATAAGCGAGTGAGGGCTTTTCACTACGGTTTGTCTGGTGGCTATGAGAAAATAGTGCTGTTGAAATTACTGCTTAAAGGTAACTTGTCTGTGAATTGTTCTGTTGTAAATAAATCCCCCCCCCCCAATAAGAAAAACAGTAACAACTATTTAAGGAAACCTGTTAGATGTCATGTGAGAATTGTCTTTATTGGGCATTTTTATGTGTCTGTAGTTTTGTTTTGTTTTACACCTACTCTAAGCTTTATTATTGGCATATACTAAATGTGATTATATTAAGCAAAATGGATTCTCGAAATCCATACCAAGTTATTTACACTCACATCATATAGAGAGGAATAGGCTACATCTGCTATCACATTACCTTTCTAAATTCTTTTGGGGGCTTTTGAAGTATTTAAGTGTAAGTTAGAAATTAAAAGTACCAACTCCAGTGAACTTGACATAATTATTCAACGTGGCAAGCACTAGAAGTTGGGGTGTGAAGAGTGATACTTGAAAGAAACCTGCCTCCCTCCCAGAGTTCTTGCCTCATAATTTCAGAAGCCCTGCACCTATTATCAGTGTCATGGCCAAAAATATAAATAAATAAAAGGAGAGGAAAGTCTGCTGGAAGTTGGTCAAAGTCCTTTAAATTTAAAATATACTAAATAATTTCATTTACTTATTAAGCAAGAAAGTAGCCCAATTTGTCCAAAATACTATACATATATTATCCCTAATCTAGTACAATTCACAGATTAGGGGTAGGAGAGATTTGCTTCATGGTAATTGTCTTGGTAGCAAGACACAAAAATGTTTGTTAATTTCATGCCTGTTCCTCAAGGCTCTGGGTGGAGAGTTACAGGTAATGTTCAAGTTAAGATACTGTGTCTCAGCTGTGTGCTTCTCAGCAGCAAGTTTCCCATGTGCAGAGATTAAGGGCAGAGCCATAAAAATTAATGGGCACAACTTCACTTAAAGTATAAAATACAGTGGCAATTTTGATGACCCCCTCCCCACTCCTCACCCTTTAGTGAATTAACATACTGCCTCTTGAAAGGAAAAATTCTGATGCTTTTCACAGGGGGAAGTTTTCTCCTCTGCATCAGTCGGGTAAATGTGACCCCCAATCAGTTGAGCTCCTGGGAAGAGGACCACTCACCTGAAGTGTAATGTTCGTCTGAGGCCGGACCTTGGCGGAAGGAATCTGGAGATAGGACTCTTTGTTTACAAAATTCACACTGACCAATTTTTCACACTTCTCCCCCAGGTAGCCAGGCAAGCACTGGCATATTGGCTCATTGATCCTGATGATGCACTGAGCTCCGTTCTGACAATCAAAATTATCACAGGGGCTGGTGCGAGGGAGGACCATGGGTGGAGAAAACTCACAGAACAAGCCACTGGGAAACAGAAAGGCAAATTCGATTAGGTTAGATGTGCTAGAGCCCCAGAAATGTCCCCCTAAATCCAAATGTGCCATCCTGTCCTCACCTGTAGCCTTCAGGACAGACGCACGTGTAACCGTTTACTGCGTCCGTGCAGTGAGCACCATTTTTACACTTGTTATCCTGGCAGTCATCAAAGTCAATGTCGCAGTGCTCACCAATGTACCCTGGAGTGCAGTCACACCTATTTTGGCAAGGAGACAAAGTTTCAAACTTTTGACTTAGTCAAAAGATCACAGAAAACAGTGGCATTTCATCTGGATAAAATGGCGCCAACTTAACATAAAAATGTAATTAATAGATATCTACAAAACAGTACAGGCCAGACTGTGAAGCTTGGGTTTCTTATTATCTGTCAGAGGAACGGCCATTAATTCCTTGATGATGTAAATCAAAACACAAAGAAGCTCATTGTACCAGGGTTTTTATTTCTTCCCTTTCTCTTTCTCGCCCCATATTGCCTGAAGTGCCCTTCATTTCTGTTCTTCTTAACTGCATTATCCATTTTGATAGTGAAAGTTTTATATGTTGATTTATAAAGGAGATTTATAAACTTGTTGCAATTGTTCTGCCTCTGACTCCTGAGTTCTGCAGATACAGTCAAATGGGACCATGACTGGCCCATTTACAAAGGATATGAGCTATGTTTTAAAAGCAGTAACAGTTTTATTTTGTCACAGACTAGAAAACTAGAACATAACATGATTTAAGAAAATGAAACTAATGATATTGGACACCCTAATTTAAATTTATTAATTATGGAAAAATTGGGTTGAATTGATAGGTTGGGATACTGGATGAAATACAAAATTTCTGAGGGCAATTCAATTCGGAATTGATCCTAGAAATTTTGTATTTGATCCAATATATATTACTTCCAGGCTACAGTTTCCCCTCCCTCCTCTCTTCCCGGTCACTCCCCTCTACCCCCTCTGTTCCCATCCCAATACATTTCTTCTCTATTTCTGTTTAGGAAAGGACAGGTCTCCTATGAGCATCAACAAAGCATGGCATATGAAGCTATAGTAAGACTAAGCACCTCCCCATGTATGAAGGCTGGGCCAGGTGACTCAGTATGGGGAGTAGGGTCCCAAAAGTTCTGGGGTCTATTCTATGTGTGTTTCATTAGGTTCTTCACTCAGATTGTGTAGAGGCAGAAAAGGTGTCAACTGTATTGATGATAAAAGACTGGAGGAATGCAGATTATACCACTGAGCATCTCCTCAGTCCAGTACACATTTTAAGACTATGGGTTCAGTGAACCCATTCTAGCATTCTACAGCTCTGTGACATTAGATGCCATTATGCACTCTGTACAGGTATAGTCACTGTGGGAGAAAAAGCTCAAGCCCATATCCATTGGTAAGCACTTGTAAGTGCTTCATGTGGGATATAGAGAATTTGACCAGAGCCTGGACCCTGAGCTAGTGTACCTCACTGATGGATAATCAGCTGCTCAAGGGTTCCTTTCCAAACTGTGCTCTGGTGCTGATCCTTGCAAATTCCAGCTCTGGCATTAAGAAGCCAGGACTTCCTGACCCTCTAGTGATGGAGGAAGATCATTGGCCAATAAAGAAACTGCTTGGCCCTGTGGGTGGAGTCAACAGAACAAAATGCTGGGAGGAAGAGGAAGTGAGGTCAGAGTCTCGACAGCTTTCCTCTCAGGAGCAGAAGCCTGAGAGAGACGCCATGCCCCGCTCCCGGCATGAAGCTCCGACCCAGGATGGACTAGGCTAGAATCTTCCCGGTAAGACCGGTTCTCACAGATTATTAGAGATGGGTTGATCGGGATGTGAGAATTAGCCAGTAAGGGCTAGGGCTAAAGGGCCAAGCAGTGATTAAATGAATACAGTTTGTGTGTTGTTATTTCGGGGCATAAGCTAGCCGGGCAGGCAGCCGTGGTGCTGGGGACGCAGCCCCGCCGCCCCCATATTACTACAGTTGGCGCCCAGACGTGTGGACAGCAGAAACCCACTTAAAAAACCTGAGAAGGCTTAAAAATAAGGGAGAGAGAGTTTAACACAGATTTTTGCTGTTTGTTGGTGGCGTGCTGTAGAGAGATTTCCTGATTCGGCAACAGTAGCAGAAAAAATGCTGTGTCATTTTAAAGCGCGACTTCCTGGGGCTGTGCCGCCATTGCGATCTCTGTCTGGCTCCTGCGGGAGACAGAGCTTTTGAATAGAGCATTTGGAGTAAAGTGCTACGATTTGTTTGATGGCAACTAGACTCGCTGTGTTCTCGGGTCTGCTCTGCTTGTTAGAGGCAAGCAAGCGCTTCATCTAAGAGAGGCTTCCTGACTCAGCTTTAGCTGCAAAGCCTGCAGCTCATTAAGAGGTCCTGCCATGAAACACTTAAACGGTGTTGACGAAAAGCTGAATGCATGCTTTTGGGTTTTCAGCCGTAGCAGGAAAAAAGCTGCACCGTTTAAAAATGCTGGCTTTCTGGGCCATCCTGCCAGGGCAAACTCTGACTGTTTGAGGCAGGAGGGCCGGCTACCAAGAGAGGACGTGAGTGTTGTCTGTTGTAGCTCACTTGCTGGCAGGGACCTTGAAATGCCATACAGTTGTTGCAGTAAACATGGCTACAGCCTGTATATCCGCCATGAGGCTGGAAAGCTAAGGAATGGACTGGATCTAGCTGGCAAAGCCACGCCTTTAATCCTACCCATATTGCTCAGTAATTTAAAGGCTCGTGTGGTCAGAAAAAGAGAGATATACAGTAAAGAGAGATTCAAAGACAAAGAAAATTTCTGAATGGTTTAAAGTGTGTTAAAAATATATGCAGACTAAAAGTTGAAGTTCTTAAAGTAAAAAACAAAAAAAGAAAGAGAGTTGTTGTGTGTGATAGCACACGCCTTTAATCCCAGTGCCTAGAAGGCAGAGACTAACAGATCTCTGTGAGTTCAAGGTGTAGTAGCAAACACCTTTAATCCTGAATGCCTGGGAGGCAGAGACAGGCGGATCTCTTAGAGTTCAAAGACAGCCTGGTCTACAGAGTTACTTCAGGTCAAAGATACAGAGAACCTGTCTCAAAAAGCAAAGAGTTAAAAGTAAAAATAAACAAAATAGAGGTTAAAATAAAACGAACAAAGATGGAAAATACACAGAGAATCTTGATACTGTATGCTATTATGCTCTCTTTGAATTATTTAAACGCTGAGGAAGGAGCAACAGATGCTAAAAGATATTTATTTATAAATGCTGCTGAACTAATCCAACATAGATATTTTGAAAATGCCTTGATTTTGAAATTTGGATCTAAGGACATGATACTTTGGAAAGGAGTTTCTTATTTTGTTTTCACAGAGGATGAGACGCTGTTCATTTCTTCTATTCCGATTTGGTATGATGGACCACGCCCTCCTGAAGGGTTGGTGTGAACGCCTTCAAAAAATTGCTTCTCTCAACTGCCAACTGAGATGAAACTAGCACACAGGTTATACCATAAAAGACCTAATTAACGATGCCCCCATTCAGCAGGAAGCAGTTTGGAGAGAAAAAACTGCGCCCATGTTCCCAAATATGGTTTATAAACGTTCTTTTACATTTTAAGGGGGATATGATATAGGACTTTTCATGACAATGAGACACTCTGCTCCTGGCAGCACCAATCTACTTCGAGAGGAAGATGGGCATCGAAGAGGCTCATTATGGAGTCTGATAGCCATTTGGGCAAGAAACTGCTCTTGCCTGGACTATTGCATAAACTGGACACAGAAAACCCGCAGAGAGGGGACTACTGAACTTGCCTAAGGTGAGATGATCTTTCGGGGTTCCTGATTCATTTTGAAAGAGTCTGTGAGACATTCTGCAGGACACAACAGATAGTGACTGAACTGACTTTGAATTTTCCTGCTTTATGGAAATGTCTGCTGGATACCATGGGCCTGAAGGCTGAAGATGGATGCCCCAACGGTACAAAAGAACTTTGGGTGACTGTCCAGGCAGCGAGATGTCTTTGTCATTTCTAGAGTTTGAAGTTTCTTAGTTCTTGTTTACTTAGGTAATATTATATCTTTCTGGAGTCTTTGATGGAGTTAAGAATAGTTAGTTATAGTTATAGTTTTCCTTAGTTATGATAAAGATTATTGTAACTTTTACTTGATAACTGTTTTTTTATATGTAATTTTGCTATGTTAAAGTTAAAGCCTTTTTTTTTTTGTTTAAACCGAAAAAGGGGAAATGATGGAGGAAGATCATTGGCCAATAAAGAAACTGCTTGGCCCTGTGGGTGGAGTCAACAGAACAAAATGCTGGGAGGAAGAGGAAGTGAGGTCAGAGTCTCGACAGCTTTCCTCTCAGGAGCAGAAGCCTGAGAGAGATGCCATGCTCCGCTCCCGGCATGAAGCTCCGACCCAGGATCGACTAGGCTAGAATCTTCCCGGTAAGACCGGTTTTCACAGATTATTAGAGATGGGTTGATCGGGATGTGAGAATTAGCCAGTAAGGGCTAGGGCTAAAGGGCCAAGCAGTGATTAAATGAATACAGTTTGTGTGTTGTTATTTCGGGGCATAAGCTAGCCGGGCAGGCGGCCGTGGTGCTGGGGACGCAGCCCCGCCGCCCCCATATTACTACACTCTAGGGAATCACATACAGTGCAAATACATTGGTTTACAGACTACTGAGCCCCTCACTTTATCATGGTTACAGCTACCCATGTTGTAAATTAGTCACAGAGAGTTCAGATACAAACAACAATAAAACACTGTTTTATTTTGTGTATCCTTTAGAGTAGCATCAGATCCTGTACTGTCTATTGTGTCCACTCCTGAAGATTTATCATCCACTTATGCATGCGGATATCTGCTACCTTCTTAATATAAATGAAATAAAGCCTTTGTAATCACATCTACTTTTACCGTACTGAAATATGACTTGTTAAGGAGACCCTCAGGCAGTAATCACACTCAATGCCACTATGCCTGCTGCTCAAATCTTGTAGGCACTGCATCATCTCACATATCATAAGAAGGACGAGCAGAGTTTAGTACAATTGAGAGCAAGGGAATACCTTTACATAATTTTCATTATGGTATCTTGTTAAAAGTTTTGTTATTTATTACTATTTATCTCTTATTGTACCTACTTTGCCAGCTGAATTTATCTTTAAAAAGAATAGGAAAATGATTTGTAGTGTCTAGGATTTCAGGCATTTTATGGATAAAAGTCATACTCCCATATGAGTTGTGAAGCTACAGGGATATTGGAATTTATACAGGTCTGGCCATAGATGGGTAACTCTTGTGATAGTCCTCTCCATCCTCCACTCTTTCTTCATAACATTTCCTCTTGTGGTTTGATCAATTTAAATAATGGTATTTCCATGAGTGTTTTTCCTTTGAGTTTAAAGGAGGATTCATTTCTTTGTTATGTACACACACACACGACAGAAAACCATGTTTTCCCCCCACAGAATTTGGGCTTTGTAGTTATACACAATTCACATTCCATTCTGGCTTCACTGTTAAGTGTGTATTTTTTTTTTAATCTAACAAGTCAACACTTATATTTTCTTGCTTAATGAAACTGTGTCTTTCAATATTCACCACAGGATGTTTTAATATATGTACATGTTGGGCAATGATACCTATAATCAAAGTAATTAAATATCCATCACTTCACTGTGGTGGTTAGCACTGTCTGCTTGACAGGGGTCATGTGGGAGACAGGCCTCTGGGCATTCTTGTGAGAATGATCCAGAGCACAGAGGTAAGACATGAAGACCCAGTCCTGGTGGGTGCTGCCTGGGATCCTGGACTTTACAGGCAGAGAGAGAGAGAGAGAGAGAGAGAGAGAGATATTGTTGAACAGATGTCTATATTTTCCTTCTGTCTGCTTTCTCATTGCTGATGAGATCTGTTCAGCTGTATCCTGCTCCTGTCACCCTAACCACCTGGCCATGGTACATTGAGTTGGGAGCCAGGGCAAATGCCTTCTCCTCCAAGTTGTTTTTGTCAGGCCATTTTGTGACATCAACAGAAGAAACTAACACTCCCCCTCCCGTTACCTTTAACTTTTTATTTTACTTTAATCTTATCTCTTTGGAAATGTATGATGCAGTTTACTCTAGTCACTATTCCTACATTAGTTAGGTCTCAGAACTCACTCATCTCCTCCCTATAGAATCTTAATATCAGGAACTAACATCTGTCCATTTTCATTACACCGAAGTCATGGCAATTACCACTACACTCTGATTCTAAGAGTTTAACTGTTAAAATTCCAAATAGAAGCAACATCTTGCATTATCTGTCTTCCTATATCAGACTTATTTCACATGCTGCAAAACAACATTTTTGTAAAACTAAGGCATGTAGTCTAAGTATTCCTTTCTTATTTATATCATGGCATTATATTTCCTACTCTACAAGCATATTAAATATTAGGTAATATTTAATGCCATGTATAAAGTCATTAGCATATTGTTTAGATATCTTCATGTTCAAAAAGCAATTATCATATTTTTAACTATGAGTCTTGATAATTCTAGAAAAGTCATTCTATGTATTCTATACTAATAGTACAGTATTCTATAAAAAATTCAGTGTTTAAGTGAATAAAGATAGTTTAAAAATATTCCTGATTAAATGTGGCATTACACAGTGCCAAGGGTATTGCCTAAAGATGCAAACTCAGGTGCTTGACTGGAGAGTGAATGCATTAAAACAAATGGGAGAACAGTTCTTCTTAGAGAGGCTTTCAGATGGCATGTGTGCCTTAGGAACAGAATGAGCTCACTGCGTTAGCGTGCTTGCACCTAAACTGGTTGGCTTTAACACTACATCACCATAAAGTGAAGCAAACAGCAAGTCTGACACTAAAGGGACCCTAAGTGGTCATACACATTTTCAAATAGATGGACGGGTCTTGGAAGGGAACTTCCATCAATGTTAATGTGGGCAGCGGCACTGAAGTGCTGAGCATTAAAAAAAGAAGGCACGCTTTGAAATGCTCTGAATTATTTATCTGAGAAAAGAAATCAAAGTAAAAGATAAGAGAACCACACATTTAACACAGTAGCTGTCTAGGAGATATTTTATACCCTCTTTTTTTCCCCCAAACACTATCTTTTAAGCCCTTCGGAACTAGCAGCTATATCATGACCGATTATTCTGTCTTTCCCTTGTTTTAAAGTGGGAAGAAACATTTAAATAAGAATTCCCTAAATCTTCTATTACGAACAAAGTCCATCACATCTCTCCAATTCTATTATATGAGGAGGAGAGAGGGAGGATATATAGAATATAAACTATACTGTTATGACTATAAATGCTAACTAAGAAAGACGTATTCTTCAAAATACTGCTCATGGCATATCATGCTCTAAAAATATCTCCAAGCAATTCAGGAGATTTATGAAATGTATAATAAAGGATGAAAAGTAAAACCAGCTCCGTTAGCTTAGTAATAAGAAAATGAAATTGAAGTAACATTACAACTTGTCCAAACAATTCTCAGTAAAGATTTTCTCTACTGGCTTCCCCTTGTTCAGTTTTCACAACCATTTTCTTTCTGCAACGATACTTCCCACAGTGTGCAATTATTTATAAGATGGGAGTAATAGCACACACTCCATCTTAACCTGTTTTCAGCTCAACTACATACAGCTATAAAATGAGCTCGTGAATTACTGACCGCTGAAAGCCGTGGGCTTTCAAATCCGTCCTTCCAGACTCCAGCAAGGCAAACTCTGGAGAGTATGCAACCTAATTGCTAGTAATAGAAAATGCTTAATTAAGATCCAGTCCTTTGCTTAAGACCAGCTCTCCTCGTTTAAGATTGTTTCCATTAAGTCTCGCTAATAACTTGTGTAGAACTACACAAAGTCCCGTGAAATCTGTTTATCAGATGTGCAATCCCAGGAAACCATCCTTGTTAACTTTCTGCAAAGTGGTGGGCCTTGATCCACATAAGTGATCCAGTTTTGACCTGCTGACCTTAACTGTGGGCAGATCAAAGCCATTGGGAATTAAAGTAATTTACCTCCAGAGTTTTGTAGAATAAAATTCAATGTAGTATTGTGCATAAAATAAAATAAAATTAACAAGAATTTTAGTTTTGGTCTAGAATTGTAAATTGAAGCAATGAAAGATGGTCTGAGATCTACAGCCTTTCCTTCTCAGTAGTGAATATAATCTGTATATGCTTAAACTCTATGCATTCTAAAAATTTTGATTTTAAATCAAATTGACTGATAATACTGTCAAAAGAAAATTCTAAAATTAGTTAATTCAGTTTAACCTTTGACAGCAGATACTGCAGCAGCACTGGCTGATGGAGTAGAAGCCATCTCTGCCCCTTGTCTTATGCAAGCATGGCTTAACTCCTGAACATAGCTGTGTCATCCCCCAAATCCAGTCTATCTTGATTCCAAGCCAACTGTGTTACCAATAAACCAGAAAACCTGTTAGGAGGAATATAGTTTCCACAAATCACATATCTGCAAAGTATCAAGTCTCAGTTCAACCAATGAGCTAGCATGTGGTCTTTGCACAGCTACCTGACTTTTCTGGGCTAATATTTCCTTATATTTAAAACAAAAGAATTTATATTTTTGGTTGGAAGCCATCTCCTCAGTCTTACTGCAACGTAATATGCCATGGCTGACTGATATACATGGGAGGCCTGCCCTTTTCTGAAGAGAAAGGAGGGGCACTGGGTGGGTGGGAGGGGATGTTGCTGGGCAGGACTGAGAGGAGAGAAGGGGGGGGGGTGTAATCAGGCTGGGTAAAATTAATTAATGAATTAAAAATACTTGAAAAATGAAGAATTTAGTCTGGATCATGTTTCAGTTACTGCCAACTCTAAAATTCCTGACAGCTCCTTAATATATATTAAGGTGGCAGCAAAAGTATCATCTGATTTGGTACCACGCATATTTCAGAAATATTGCTAGGGGGGAAGTGATTTTGATAAATTTTTTAGCTCACTTGAGAGAGCTCTCTATGAAGTGGGAATGGGAAGCCTTAGATTTCAAAAACAAGGTTAATAATTTCATAACGAGAACAGACACAGGCTAGGGATGTCCGGAGAAACCTGGCCACAGTGTTACAGTGTTTTTCCCAGCCTAGATAGTCAGTTGACTGTTTTAGACCATAGACTTCTCAGGTACATCAGAATCAGTGTCTCAATTTTAAAATAAGTTTACCTGGTGGATGTTAGAAACTTGATTAGATTGGCCATTACATAAGTGTTATGAAACTGACTTAATGGTTGTTTCACTTCATAAAGGGCTTCCTAGACATTGTGGGGAACCAAAAGTTTCCCTGTTTGTTTGTTTCTTTCCCCAGTGTGCTAGTAATAAAGGTCCATGATGCACAGGAATATTTGCAGGCCTGTCACAAGCACCAGGTATATGTGACCCATTTCTAATCTTCAGCAAAAGTATACAGCAAAGGATGGTGGAGGAGACAGGTTCCTTAATGAAACCCCCCATGCAACCTCCACCTCACCGTGAGCCCCTAGTGGCTTCAGACTTACTTGAATCCTTTTGGTGTCAGAATGCACTTGGAGTCATGCTGGCAGGGGTTCAGGTCCTGGGCACAGAAGTCCAGTTTTTCCTCACACAGTTCGCCTGCAATAGGGGAGTAGTGTTAGTTCTCCAAGGAAGGTGGGCAGACTTTAGCAGGGTGCATCACAGCTCAAGGTTGAAACCAAAAGAAAAGAGTGGATCCCCACAATATATGGGGCCAGAATATCACACGCCTAAGTTCAATACTGGCTCTGTAGCTGAAAGGGCTTCAGGCAATGCAAATAGTGTTGAAACCCTTTCGATATTATTGGATTAAGGTAAGGGAATTTGAGTGCTTTTTATTCTTTGTTCGTTAATTTTTACATTTAATCATACATTGTTTATAAATGTATGATTTAATCATACATTGAAAAGCAAATATACACACAAAACAAATGATCATTAAAAAACTATTCATAAATAACCCATTCAAAGTGACCAGGTTCTAAAACCAGAAACATATTTACCCCATCCCTGTAGTCTCCCTCACCACCCTTCTGCTTAGTACCAGAAGTACACCCAATGTGACTACTATTTTGACAAGATAATAGAATAGTTGTGTATATTTTGGCCTTAACATAAACAGGGTATTTTAAGTGGAATAATTTGGTTTATGCTTCTTTTAGTTTGGTTTATTCTGTAGTTTTATGATTGGAAATGTAATTTTCATATTTTCTAAGGTCTTCTAAATTTAGAAATAAAACCATTTTGGGTCTCTCTTACATGTCACTAAAATATCAATGAAATACATATTAATCATTTTATGTGATATAAAGAAAAAGAAAATTTAAATAAATATGAGAGAGAGAGACAAAGAGAACTCTTTCTCTAGGACTATCAAAAAGGTTAAGTGTAACTTTTATCAATGAATGAAGAGTGAGAATATAACTATGTGTGTTTTACCCACTCTCTAATAATTTTATCACTGAATAAACTATGAGCATAATCATGTAGATAGTAGGAACTCTATATTTGACAGTATGTTCGATAATCTATGAAGAAACTTCATCCAATGATTTATGCAGTTACTATTTCAAATACATTGACTTAAGTCTAATTTTCATCAAGAAGATTTTATTATCATTGCGTAGGACTCAAAAGGCAATATTCTGAAAGTTCTTTGGTCAACTTCGATTTCAATTATAAATTAGCTTTCAATTATATTAGTTCAATAAATGAACAAATTACTCGACATACAGAAACAAGTTCTTACTTCCTCCAAGAATGTAATTTTGTTAGTGTATGACTTTAGGACATGCAAGGCAGCCTTCCTGTTGCAAGCCTGTCCTGTGACACAGCATGCTATCTGTGGACATACATGTGTGCCAATTAAATGAGGGCCATTTATTTAGATACCAAAGAAAATGTTTTATGATGCAAGTATATAAATGCACTCATCCATCGTTATCTCAGTCTAAGAATGGATAAGGAAAATGCGGTACTTTACACAATGGAGTACTACACAGCAGAAAAAAAATAACAACAGCTTGAATTTTGCAGGAAAATGAATGGAGCTAGAAAATGTCATTTTGCATGAGATAACCCAGACCCAGAAAGAAAAGTATCACCTGTACTTACTCATAAATGGTTTTTAAACATAAAGCAAAGAAAACCAGCCCACAAATCACAATCCCAGAGAACTTAGACAACAATGAGGACACCAAGAGAGACTTACATAGATTTAATCTACATGGGAAGTAGAAAAAGACAAGTTCTCCTTGAAGGAGGTTTGAAGTGGGGGGAGAGGCAGAGAGGGGAGTAGAGAAAAATGTAGAACTCAATAAAAATCAATTAAAAAAACTTATTGTAAGTCATTCATTTTTTTTTTTTTACTCTGAGAATGTCTGAGTCTTTAAGCCTGTGTCAGAAAAGTTTATCCACATACATACATACATGATAAGGCACTTTTAAAACAGTTTATTTCATGTTTGTAATTTCAAGCACTGCTACTTAAAGAGACTTTGATGGAATTGATTCGTTATATTCAACAGACAGGGATGTGAAAACCATCTGGGGTGCAGGGTATTTATCAAAGTCTAAATGAAAGCCTGTAAAATATGATAATAGAGAGTGACCATTTGAGATAAATGAAATCATCAATTTTATGTACTTTTTTAGTTTATTTCCAAATATGAAGTTGCATTACAAGTAGTAAGGAAGAGCAAGGAGTTCCTTCTTTATTCACTTTAACCCTGGCCCAGGTCACTCCAACAGGGTAAACCATGGTTCATCAAGTCTGTGGAGTTGTGACAGATGCTGGGACTATTGACATAAAGCGAGCAGCTCTGCCTTAAGGTGGTTCCCAATGCAGAAGAAATGAATACAGAGATAGGAGAACACATAGACTGCTTTCTTCTCTAAGTAAAAACACAAAACTTGGCCTTCCATTCTTACTGAGGAATTTCTCCCTAGATTCCATATGTTAAGGAGTGAGGCAAGAGAAATGTCTCAGGAAATTCTGGTTAAACATGTTGCTAAGTCCTTTGTGGATGGTTTTAGAGTGAGCAATTCAACTTAAGTAAGAAAATAACTCTAATGTCATGTATGTATTTCTTATCTTTACATGAATAGCATAACAGTAGTGTTAGTTATGACTAAAGCTGTATATAAAAAAATGTGTTTGTGTGTGTGTGTGTGTGTGGCCCTTACATGCTATCCCCCTTGGTCTGATATTATTGGATGATTACTTCAAAGACAAAGAGGCTCTTGTAATCACTTAAGAACCTGGTGCTTGTAACTACCACTTAACGCATCTTTCAAATCACCATGTACTTAGACTCTTGTCACTGAATTCTACCCATTAATCAATAAATTAATTTCCCAGACTTTAACTAATGTTTCTTTTCTCTTTTGCTTGGATAAGCTCTGCTTACATTTAAGTTGTCAGTTTCCTCATTCATGCTTGTGCCTGTAGCATGACTATATGGTAGGACTGTAGGTTTATGTTGTCATATATGTATTTAAATTATTGGGCTTTACCTATTCCTTGACTGCAAGATCATACTAAGCAAAATCCTAATGTGTTTGCTTTTGCATCTTCCTAGGCTGTGATGTATAAGGTGCTACATTCAGATACTCTAAAGAATAAGCAATAATCAAGGCAAGATTTTTCAGCTTGTTTAGTCACATTCAAGTTACGTCAGTTTTTCAATTTTTATATGTTTTCTTAGTTTTATATGTTATAACTCAATCATCACTAATAATGTAGTTAGGCTCTTAAGTTTGTATATTAAGTTTTGCCAGACTGACTATTAAAGTAAATTCGTTCATTGTGCTATTTATTTAATTTCCTAATTGTATTTAATTTTGCTACATTTGCAAAAAGAAGAAATTTTAAAATTCAAACATTGTTTTGCAGTGTGAGAGTTGGGAGTTGCGTTTGACATAGGAAATAAAATAAATCCCCAGGATGGAGGCTGCACTTAGCATGTACATCTGATCATCAAAGGGAAACTGTCCAAGAATAACTGCACTACTGTTCAAGGAAGAATAGGAACAAGCACTCTAGCTGGAGTGAAACCAGAGCCTCCTGGTTTATTATTGAAAAGTCACCCAGTCCTCATATAATGAGAAGGGTATCTCACTTAGTTTTTTAAGTATATGTATCCAGAGTTAGTTTTCAGTAGGGAAATAACAGAAAATAAGGAAGTTGAATTGTGCTTATTATGGTCACATGCATGAGGTAATTTCAATGACTGCTTCTTTGCTTGAGAGCATCAGTTTCAAGAAGACAAGAAAAACAAGGCAGACATATTCTAATTCTATTCTGTTTAGTTTGGAACTCAATCAGCAGGTCCTTATGAGAAAATGTGCCAGTCCATTTGTTTGGTTTAGGCCACTGTACTTGGGGGATGGTTCAGTGGCTGTACCCATCAACCTCTTAAGAGACATGATTCCAGACACACTTTGACTTTGTGAATCTGAGGAAATCCTACTTGCTTTCTACTTTGAATTCCTAAAAGTCCCAAAGGTAAAGCATAGGACATCATGGTATCTTGGTATTTATGATTTCAAGGACAACCTGGTCTACAGAGTCTCAGGACAGCCAAAGATACACAGAGAAGCCTATTATCCAAAAAATTTAAAACTAAAAAGAAAAAAAAATAGAGTTTAAAATAAAGCCACGTAGAGATGGAAAATACATAGAGAGTCTGGATACTCTATGTTATTGTGTTGTCTTTGAATTGTTTGATGGCTGAGGAAGGAGCAACAGCTGTTAAAAGACATTTGATTATAAATGCTGTTAGATTAATTTTGAAAATGCCTGGACTTCAAAATTTAAGTAAAAAATATGTTACTCTGAAGAACAGGTTTTCCTTTATTTCCACAGGGAGTGAGAGGCTGTGGATTAATCCTGGATTAAGAAAAATAAGATTTGATCAAGGAAGACTCCCTGAGAAATCTCCAATAGAAGCAGATGGCCCAGATGTCTGAGTTCTACATCTAGTGCTGGGATCAAAGGCCTACGCCACCACTGCCCAGCCAAGTCACTTTGTATCAAACCAAATCTGCCGCTGTGGCGGCTTTTGTTGCAAAACCACAGGTACTTGAGCTTCTGCTAATTCAGGCAGTGGGGTTCCACTGCAAACTTAGCCAAGGCAGGCAGAATGGGCCTGTACACACTCGGCACTGGGGCCGGAGTCACGAACTAAAAAACAGCACCCGGGAGGGTGCTGTGTTAGCAGGCAGGTTACCCGCTTGAGTCTGGGGCAAAATAGCTCCACATTGGGTGCCAAAATGTAACGGTGTAAATGAATGCAGACAGATTGTAAAAATATATATACAGCTTTAATGGCGAAATAGACTTACAGAACCACTGTTCCCGTGGAGACCAGGAAAGCAGAAGAAGTGGCTGGGAGCATGCTCGCCAAATTTATAGGCAAACATTAGCCCGAGGCGAACACGCCCCCTAAGGGGTGGGACTTATCCCTACAATCTTAGAACAGCCTCAAGACTGCTGGCTGAGATGATGAAGCCTCACAGAATTTTCCATTCAGAATTTAACCATAATCTTAAATTTTATTTAGGTTCCCATAAGATTATCAGCACCCCCAATCAGCAGG